CAAGTTTGCAGAAAGTAACAATGATCTGTACCTTCTGCACTGTTCTCTTCAAAGTAGTTACTCAATACAAGATACAGGCATGAAAAATGGGTCAAGCAATATAGGCATATCACCCATTCTTTCAATGAATTAACAGGAACAGATACGGTAGTATGACTACTGTAACTACCCTGTGTTGTGTATTCTTTTTCCTTTCTCCTTTCCTTCTTTTTCCTTTCTGCTTCCTTCTTTCAGAACTTTAGAATGGTCTTGTCTACTTTGTCACAATGTTTATCAAACAGTAGTGTAGTCTCCATAGCCCAGACCTGGTACAATTTTATGTTGGGCTAGAACCTCTCACTAAGGCTCTCAATTGGAGGGGGCCACAGCACAGTAGTGGTTGGTACCCATATAACTGTCTAGATTTCATGCCCAGCTGCTGTCATCTGTCTTTATCCCTCTTAGTTTCTGTGAAGCATTGGGCAAGCTCCTGCATGATTTTGACACTGCTCAGGTTGGGTTCCATCTCTTCCTCTGTGGACAAAGCTTAAGTTTTTCTTATGACTGCTGGATCCTACTGCTGCTGTGCAGATGCTGCCCAGCCTTCTGTAACTCTGAAGTAACCTCACTGGGCATCCTAGGAGACTTTGTGACCACCAAAGAAAGACTAATGCTATCTATCTCCTTACAAAAGCTTCAGGGAAGATATGTGTGAAGTGCATGCCACGGAAAGTTGAAGTAGTGTTCAACGGTCTTCCCCCATAGCTTTCTGGCTTCCTACCCAAGCCATGGCTGGATAATGTTGCCTGCATCTTACATATACAAGAAGAGAACATCAAGACTCAGTAGCTTTTGACACTGTTGCTTTCGCTACCACGTATGGCTGTGAAAGTGCAAATGGGCACTGAAACTCAAGAGGCTTGTGTGCATTTTGCAGATACTGGGCAAGCAGGTGTTTATTTTTCAGTGAAAGGACAGATATTAAGGGGTAAAAGGAGCTTCTGAACATTGATTCTGAAGACCATTATTTTTCTTTCTGCCTTTATTTGCAAGGAAATTCATGTGGCCCTTCTCTAATAACATTATAAAA